ATAGGTGCACTGCCATCTACAGACTGCAGTGGCCTATGCAAACTGACAGCAATTGTTTGACTGTTTTATGCAAAGCATGAGTGTGCACCATTATACTAGCATATTTGCAAGTTATACAGTACAATGTTTTAACTGTTCTATTTGCTAATATTACAACCACCACTAAGGAAATAATAGAAAAGTATAGTCCAGTGCTAATTATTATTATACAGGAATTATATGGCGTCAACCGTTTGAAATTTTGCGTGGGGCAAATTTAGTACAGTCATCTTTTAAAAGCACACTCCCATGTCTAGGAGGACATCAAGCTCTACAAGTTCTACACTTATGTGTCAATGATCCGTAAAGTTCTTGGCTGCTGGGCATCTGGATGCTGCACAGCCTTTTCACAAACGGCAGGCATGCCAGTATCAGCATATCCAAACAGTGATGGCTGCGGTCACTGTTTGTCCAAAGATTTTCCATTTGGTTCCTTCGATTTTCTTATTAAAGAAGGCTGGAAGGAAGGGTGCCAATGGGACTAATGTGCAAATTCCGCCCTGGTTATCAAGAACTGGCTGAAATTTGCATAGCCCATGGCCAGCTTAAAACAGCGGAGATGGAAGAATCTCCTGCCACCAGCTATTGTATTGAGCAGCCACTGCTCCAGTGGCTACTTAATACCCAGTCAGTACCTACATCTGAGATTGGGCACAGGCACTGCTTAGCTGAAAGTTTTGGACTGGCTCCATCAACATAGGCTGATTGAAAAATTGCGGTTTGGTGCATTCAGGGCTCCCCACTACTCAAATTTTGTTTGGTTCATCAGGAACTGAGAAAAAAAATGCTCTGTTAATGACCAACTTTAGAACATGCACAGAACAGTAAAGATTTGAAGAGGGAAGTAACAGAAATCATATTTCAGTTTACTCAAAGTCAGAATAAGAACAAAATTATTATTACTTAATTATTATAATTATTATAATACTTATTATGGGTTGATTATACTCTGTTTTCTTTCTGTAGTAAGCTGCCAGAACGTTTTACTCACAAATCATTGGTTATTGCCTTGATGTTCCATACTTTCCTTCCCTCTCTTTATCTCCTGACCCCAGAAGTTCATAAACTCTGCATAATATCACTCACAATTGGCAGATAACACACTATAATTAATTTGTATGTTTTCTGCCACACTGTCAATGTGCTCTATTTATCTCTTTTTCTGACATAGTGGGGTCATTGTGTGAGCACAGCGGACCTTCAGGCTTGTGTGTGGGCTGATGTGCAATCCAAAACGATTTCTTGCTTTTCAGTTTGGTCACTCAGTGCCAGTCCAACATCAATTTCTCATGTTCTGCTTGTGGGTGGAATGGAGCCAGAAATGGTACTTGAAAGAAAACTTCTTCATCATTGACTGGAAATGGTCAGTTAGCCAGTGCCAGCTGGGAAACAACGGGTAGAGAAGGACTGTCCTCAGCGAGCCACATAGAATAATAGTTATAGTACCTCTGTTGAAAATAAATTCAGTATGACATTGTAGACAGAATAATTAATCTTTTGGGTATTTTTCAGTAGTTCTGCTTTAAAATTCAATGTAAGTTCTTATTTAGCCACTTAATTCACATTAATTTGTAGAACATGTCCCATTGGTAAATATATATGCTTGATTTATTTCTGATATTTAAAATCTTTTCAACATCATTTTACATATCCCTTTGGTTAACCAGTGCATAACATGTGTCACTTATAAGTTGTGCTTATCACATACAAAGGTATACATACACATCATGTAAGTGCACGTTCAGAATCAAACAGCTTATATAATGCAGAGAGAAAGATAGAAATTTTCATTAGAGTTATACTAATCAGATATCTGCTGCTATGGCTTGCACATAATTTGCTGCATATTGTTGAAAAGGGAATGCTGATCAATTCGTTTATCAGTTAAGGAAATCCTGTAAATTTATAGTTTTCCCCTGCCAATAGATAATCCCTTATCTTGTTTTTAGTAGAAAGAATACCATGGGACTTGATGTAGTTGTGCTAGTCTTTAAAGACCTTGCTTCTTGACAGTTAGTTTATGCAGCCTGGCTGTGCTCCACTGGATGATATGGTAGCTGAAATGAAATATGGAAGGTTCTTCTGCATAATTTGGTTGGTTGACCAGTGCCATGTCCCTATGTGCATTAATATTGACACTGAGAGCCTTGATATTTTGCAAATCAGTCTGCCAGATTCCACTAAAGGTGTAGGTTATATCAAATTGTGTTAACCGGGCCAAGATTGACAACCAGCCTGACTTTAATAAGCCCCAGTGCCCTATCCTGGGAGTAATGAAGCACCATTCTCTTGTGGGTTGGGTGCTTTTTGTATACAGACTTCCCTTGCCTGCAAATTAAATACAACTTTTTTTTAAATGGCTTACAATGCTGCAGTGTCGTGTAGAATCACTAGTTTTGTGACTGGCATCTTAAACATCGGTGCGTCCATGTGTTCTCAGGTGTATTATTATCATTATCCCTTTTAATTACCTATTTCGCTGCTTATTTCATTTTTGGTGTTGCCCATTTGTTGATTTTTGCCTGGTGCACTGTAAGCATTTATTACCCTTTATAGTTCAACATTGATGTATGCTTATTAATATCCTGCTGATCTATTGTTTGAGTTAAATGTGCTTTTTATTTTACTGTTGTGTTAATTATCCTATTAATTACCCAACAATTTCATATTCATTGCTGGATACTTTCCTGATTATATCCTGCTAAATGGTTGATGGTTCCACTTTATTAATATTGTGCTGATTTCCATCGAAGCATTGATGTCCTACTGATTTCCCATTGAGATTGTGCTTTTTGTGATGTGTTTTGTTTTATTTTTTTTAATTTGGTTTTTGTTTTCCTTGTTTTTCCATCCAGATCCCCCCACTACCCCCCCACTTCCCACAACAACCACCACTACCACCACAACTACCACACCCTCCACCATCCCAGGTATGGTACCTTCATTACATGTGTGTCTGTCGCATCCCTGCATGAACTGTGGGTTAGGGTCAATGTCATGAACTATTCCAGGTGTCTTCATAACTTCTCTAGGACAGCTGACCTTACCTTTTATTGTTCAATGGCAGTTTGGCTAATCAGTGCTGGATTACATCTTCAGGAAGCATAATCTTGTTTCTTCTTCGACTTTGACTACAGTCTTTGCATACGATGCAGGGTACTTTTCTCTGGCCAAGCAGGATGGTGACCTAAACATATTGCTGTTAAACCGAACAACCATAACTTAAAAGACCAATTATGCTAATGCACATAATTGTGTATATAAAAGCCTCATCACCTCAAGTCACTCTGTCGCTTAAACTGAAACTTCAAATTGGGGATGTCCTCTACAAAGAAGAACTTAGACACTCACCTCTCCTGCTACCCATGCCACTGATGGCAGTAGTAGTAAGAATAAAGTGCTTGCTAGAGAATCCTTAGCAACTGCCACTTCCATGAGTGTTAATTTCCTGGTTACCTGCTGCGCTCTGTGGTTCTTTCCACTGAGTAGGGGCCGGTGGATCTAGCCAGAGCCTAGTAGAATGGGCAGCAGGAGAAGTAAGTATTAAGTTATTTACTTTAGGTATTGGTGTAAGAGGCAGAGTGTCTGTAAGGTTCCTCATAAACACCAACGAACAATTGTTGATGTAATGGGTGTCAGATATTTTGTGTGGCAAATGTTGACACCAACAGGTCAGGCAGTGTCTGTTATGTACCTGGTTGGAGACCGAGCTCATGAGGAGGCATCTCTTTCACCTCTTGTCCAACACTCCTGGGCCTGGTGACAGGAGATTTGAAGAGACAGAATGGTATGAGGATTGAAGTTGCAGGAGGCGGCTGTTGTCAGGTGTGTAGACCAGGATGACTGTAGATCACTGGGCAGGAACGAGTCGCAGAAACACTTCAGCGCCAGAGGAAGCGGGAGCGTTGTCAGGATTCGAGCCAAGGTTAGTAACAGCCAGTCAGCAAGGTAGAGAATCAGCAGGCAGAGACAACGTTGGGATACAAGCCAGAGGACTTCAACAGCCAGGCAGTAAGGTACTGAATCAATGAATCAATAGATAGAGACACTGTCAGGAAGTATACCATAAGTCACTAACAGACAAGTAGCAAGGTGCAAAATCAGGAGGCAGAAAGCAGAGTCCAATGAAAAGTTTGGGGTCCCAGTGGGTAGACAAGTTCCAGGAGCAGGTGAAAGGGGCAAGCCGGGTCACACACAGGAAATTAGAATAACATGTTGGGTTGCAAGGATCGGTAACTTACTTAATACCCCTCAGCAATCTGAACATGTAACACTCTAGTTTATTTAAGCCATTTGGTGTCAGCAACAGTATTGAGCGTGCATGCACCACACATCGCTTATCTAATAGATGATTTGATCCAATTAACAGGGTACTGAACAACAGGATGTGCACATGCTTGGGCCTGTATTGGTCTTCTACAGCCAGAATGGACTGAACTTCCCTTACAGTGTCCACAGTTTGTTGGCACATACACTATATTGCCAAAAGTATTGGGACACCTGCCTTTATACGCACATGAACTTTAATGTGATCCCAGTCTTGGTACGTAGGGTTCAATATTGCCCACCCTTTGCAGCTATAACAGCTTCAACTCTTCTGAGAAGGCGTCCACCAGGTTTAGGAGTGTGTCTATGGGAATGTTTCACCATTCTTCCAGAAGCGCATTTGTGAGGTCAGGTACTGATGTTGGACGAGAAGGCCTGGCTCGCAGTCTCTGCCCTAATTCATCCCAAAGGCGTTCTATCGGTTTGAGGTCAGGACTCTGTGCAGGCCAGTCCAGTTCCTCTACCCCAAACTCGCTCATCCATGTCTTTATGGACCTTGCTTTGTGCACTGGTGTGCAGTCATGATGGAACAGGAAGGGGCCATCCCCAAACTGTTCCCACAAATGTTGGGAGCATGAAATTGTTCAAAATGTCTTGGTATGTTGATGCCTTAAGAGTTCCCTTCACTGGAACGAAGGGACCAAGCCCGACCCTGAAAAACAACCCCAAACCATAATCCCCCCTCCACCAAACTTTACACTTGGCTCAATGTAGTCAGGCAAGTAACGTTCTCCTGGCAACTGCCAAACCCAGACACGTCCATTGGATTGCCAGACAGAGTGCCAAGCCCAACCCCTGAAAAACAACCCCACACCATAATCCACCCTCCACCAAACTTTACACTTGACACAATGCAGTCAGACAAGTACCGTTCTCCTGGCAACTGTCAAACCCAGACACGCCCATCGGATTGCCAGACAGAGAAGCGTGATTCGTCACTCCAGAGAACATGTTTCCACTTCTCTAGAGTCCAGTGACGGTGTGCTTTACACCACTGCATCTGACGCTTTGCATTGCACTTGGTGATGTAAGGCTTGGATGCAGCTGCTCGGCCATGGAAACCCATTCCATGAAGCTCTCTATGCACTGTTGTTGTGACAATCTGAAGGCCACACAAAGTTTGGAGGTCAGTAGCTATTGACTCTGCAGACAGTTGGCAACTTCTGTGCGCTTCAGCATGCGCTGACCCCGCTCTGTCATTTTACGTGGCCTACCACTTTGTGGCCGAGTTGCTGTTGTTCCCAGTTGCTTCCACTTTGTTATAATACCACTAACAGTTCAAGGTGGAATATTTAGAAAGGAAATTTCATGGATGGACTTATTGCACATGTGGCAACCTATCACGTTACCACGCCTGAATTCACTGAGCCTGTGAGAGCGACCCATTCTTTCACAAATGTTTGTAGAAGCAGTCTGCATGCCTGGGTGCTTGATTTTATACACCTGTGGCCATGGAGGTGATTGGAACACCTGAATCCAATGATTTGGAGGGGTGTCCCAATACTTTTGGCAATATAGTGTATATTGAATAAGTATGTTCTTTTGCTCACTATTAAGCCACAGTGATAATAAATGTGAAATCACATTAGAAAAATGAAGGCAAAAATTAAGTGCTATAAATTCAGACAGGTCTAATCCCAATCCTTATAGTTATTTTGAAAAGGAATAGTGGTAAATGATACAGAGATACAATGTTGCAGCACTTCATTAAACTGTAGTCCTGGAAAAATGTAAGTGCACTCCATGGAAATGTTTGCTTTTTTTAATATATTTGAACAGGTAAACATTAGATCTTCATTCAAACAGTGACTACAGAAAGGTGATATTCTTGAATAGAAAGCACAAGGAAAATTGGCCTTTTCAATCATTTTTTCAACAAACGCATTAAAAGATGTAAAGGTGTACTGTGGAAAAAAGTAGCTACACCCTTGCCTTTAGAAGATGGTAATAACCACTATAGCAGAAATTACTTCTTGCAGGTGTTTTGCATAACTGTCCTTCAATCTCTAGAAGTTTGACAACTACTTTGTGCCAAATTCAGTTGCAAGATGTCTGTGGGATTCCTAACTCGAACTGCCTACTTTACCCCCCACAAAATTTAAATTGGGATCAAGTCAAGACTCTGACTAGGCCAGTATACACTGAGTGGCCAGATTATTATGACCACCCCATCAGTACTTTGTTGGGCCACCTTTTGCCTTCAATACCTCGGCGTTTCTTCTTGGCATTGACTACACGAGATGTTGAAAGGTGATGCAAGGAATCTGACACCATGCTTGATGAATAGCACTGTCCAGTTCTGTGAGATTTGATGGTTGTGGAACCAGCTGCCTGATGGTTCTTTCAACTTCGTCCCACAAATGCTCAATTGGATTGAGATCTGGTGATTGTGGGGGCCACCTAAGCAAGGTAAAGTCTCCCTCATGTTCTTGAAACCACTCCTGCACAATACGAGCACCGTGGCATTGTGCATTGTCTTGTTGGAAGAAGCCATCTCCATTGGGATACACCATCAACATGATAGGATGAACTTGATCAGCAATGATACTTTGGTATGTTGTGCTATTCAGACGTTGTTCCACACTAATTAAAGGGCCCAAATCATGCCAGGAAAACATGCCCCAAACCATAACACTGCCCCACCAGCTTGAAGGGTTGTACCCATGCATGTGGGGTGCATGCTTTCATGCTGTTTCCGCCAAATTCTCACTCTGCCATCTGCATGATGCAACAGTCCAGTCTTAAAACACTTTAACAACAGCTCCTCTTGAACATTTAACGAATTCTGCTGTTTTGCTGATACTCGCTCCATGGCTCCGAGCGGCAACAATCATCCCACAGTCCAAGGCTGTTAAATTGCATTGTTTACCCATATCTTCAGAATAAAAATCACTTCTACTGTCGTGGTAAACAACCTGCTTCCCTATTTATAATGGTCTGGCCCTCTAGCAACTTCAGCGAGAAATTATAGCTAATTTGCCTACAAACATCAGGTGGCCATAATAATCTGGCCACTCAGTGTATAAACCTCCATTTCTTCTTTTTGAGATTTTGTTTGGTTGGATTTACTAGTGTGTTTTGGATCATCATCATGTTGAAAGAGTGATTTCTGGTTCAACTTCTGGACAGATAGCCTCACATTCTTCTCCAGCACACTTTGATTTGATGCAGGCTTCACAGTTGACATGATAACTGCAACTCCAGGCCCTCAAGCAGTAAAGCAATTTTAAACCACATAATTTCAACCCCCATGATTCAAGGCTGGTATGAGGATGTTCTTCTAAAATGATGTCTCTGGTTTGTGCCAAACCAAACTGTTACTGTGGCGAAACATTTCTATTTTGATACATCAGTCCACAGCACATTGTTCCAAAAGGCTTGGTCTTTGTCATACGTTCAGTGGCAAACTGTAGTCTTGCTCTTATTCTTGTTTGAACAGCAGTTTAAATTGGCGCAGTATGTTTTTTAATGTAGATGTGTGCACGTTGACATTAACTGTTGCAAGAGTTATCTGCAGATTCCCTCAATTACATTTTGGAGTTCTTGGAGACTTCTTTTTTAGCATTAAACGGTTAGCTATTGGGCTGAAATTGCTGGGCTGGCC